AAAGGAAGGGAAAGGAAGGGAAAGGAAGGGAAAGGAAGGGAAAGGAAAGGAAAGGAAAGGAAAGGAAAGGAAAGGAAAGGAAAGGAAAGGCAAGGAAAGGGAAGGCAAGGGAAGGCAAGGGAAGGCAAGGGAAGGCAAGGGAAGGGAAGGGAAGGGAAGGGAAGGGAAGGGAAGGGAAGGAAAGGAAGGAAGGAAGAACAACTGCGATAAAATCTAACAACCCTCACCTGGCAGGTGGGGAAAAACATCTCAACACATAGACAAAAACAAGACTAACACTAAACTGGTGAACATACACGAACCATCAAAAAAATCCTCCCGCCAAGAATGAATCTGGCCCTTTTTTATAGTCGTTTTGCTTTGTCGAGGCGTTTGCGCCGATTTTGGAGAAATCTGCCACCGACTTTGGGAAAAGGCCGCGAACTTTGAGGAAGTCAACCACCGACTTTGAGGAAATCAGCGACCGACTTCGGGAAGCTCCGTTTTAGGGAAAAACTGGCTCGGATTTTGGATTGGCTTGGGACAAAGCTCAAGTCTCACTGTTTTGAACGCTAAGCATGTTAGGGTTTGGATTTTTGATGTTTTAGGACTGGGTGACTGGGTGTCTCTAAAAATAAGTCAACCGGTAGCCAGTTGGAAGGGTAAACTGTTGAACCTAAATTTTGGCTGTTAAACCTGTTTTGGGGGTTGTGTTAGGGACTTGAATTGTATGAGATGTCGCAAGCACAAACTGATACGCATAGTTGCTATAGAGGACAAAAATACCTAAACACATGTTAAGATATATAGTTAACTATATACACAATGTATATGCCTTGTTACTTTGTAAGTCGTGGCGTTTATTTGGAACGGTTTTGGAAACAAAGAACTGACTGCCAGCGAAACATCTTCATCGGAAGAAGGCTATGAAGCAATTTCATCCGTCCAAAAGCCCACAAAGCCCCAATGGAGAAAGCAGGACGACGGATACTACAACAGAAATCCGAACGACGAAAAGCATTTCCAAAGATGTTACCAAGAGAAAACGAAACAACCGTGTGTATGCGATATATGTGGCTCTGCCATGAGCTACAAATCAAACTTGGCAATGCACAAGAAAACGAAGAAGTGCCAAAGGTGCTTAGTGCAAGGCCATTATTCTTTTATGATGCAAAACAACATCAGAAAATTTAAACCTAAGTATTTTTAATGACTAGATTGGGAAAAGAGAAAAGAAAAGGTGTTGGAAAAATATATTACGACGTGGAGGAGGGCTTCGGTTCGGTGAGAGACTTGTATGAAAAAGCTAAGAAGGTTGATGTAGGACATGGTTTCTAAATGGATGAGGTCACAACCGAACAAAGCAGACTAGAAACTACAAAAACTAAATTCCTACACAGCTCCGTTCCCGAAGTATGAATTTCAAATTGACTTGATGGATGTTACAAGTCTGTTGAAAGATGTAGGTAGTGAAATCAAACACCAACCAAGATATGGGTTATTATATTTTGACATATTCAGCTAAAAATGTTACATAGAACCATTGAGAAGTAAAGATGGTGAAGGTGCATTCAAGCGGTTATGGAATGTTTTAAGTTTTTGGGACAACCGTTGAGTTTGTATTCTGATGATGAAGGTTCCTTACATGGAAAAGTTGCAAGACTTTTTCAAATGGGAGGGAATAACACATGCGATAACTAAAACTCATGCGAATGTGGCTGAGAGGGCTATACGCACTTTTAAAAAGATGATTGCTGACAGGCTGAGAGATAATAAAGATAAGACTTGGGTAGATATGTTAAAACCATCACTGACAAAATGCAACACTACTCAAACCCAGAGCGCTACCGGCACAATACCAAATAAAGCACACAATTTAGATAACACAGTGCAGGTTAAAACAAATTTAATATTGAAAGAAAAGCATAACCGCAAGTATCCAAACCTAACGGAAGGTGATTATGTTAGGGTATATGAAAAAGGGAAAGGTAACTACACATCAAGAAAAGAAAGTAGGAGCCAATGGAGTGATAAAAAGGATACAAGGTAATACTAGCTGGTAAAGGTATGATGAACAACAAATACTATACATTGAACGGATTGAGTAGAAGATATAACCGTCATGAACTGCTACTTGTTGATGATTGACATTTTGCAGTTTTTTGATGTGTGCTCATTCCATCTTTCCTTATCAACGGTCCACATAAAGGACGGTTTGTTTTGACTTTCCTTTTCTCATTTTTTCATAGTTGCATTCTACATAATATTGTTTTGACTTTTGTTGATTGTATTGTTTTAAAAGTCTTCATTGTCCTTCTGTTGTCATACTTAGTTTTTTGTCTTACATGTTCTTCGTTGAATTTAAACCATTGTTCTTTACTTCTACCCAACTGTGCTTTATTCACACATTCACTAGTTTCAATGTAATAACCTTCTCTTGCTTCTTTCTTTTTACTACTACACGAGAAATTCTCAATCCAGTATATCTTACAGTTTTCAGTTCCAAACTCATCAAACAATTCAAATGACCGTGTTTTTGGGCGCTTACCCTTCAAGTAAGCAGTATAGTGATATCTGCGCCTAGCCATTCTTTGGCTTAATTCCTCACAGGTAGAACCAATATAACACTGTTTGAAATCAGGGCTTACTATTTTATAAATTTGATCTTTTTCATATCTGTTCATATCTCGTATTTCTCCTAAGTTATCATATCTTTAAACCATGTATCAAATAGTGTCCATAGGGTGGGCTTTCATGTTCAGTTTGCCAGTAACGTTTGTTATCGTATGGGGACAGTGCATACTTTGTTTGATTTATGCTGTATATTTGATGGTTTTTACTTCTTACACTATTGAATGATACAACTTTATTCAGTCGTCTATGTCGTGTTTCTTCATACTTCTCATAACTCAGTTCATTCTTGACTTGATGCTTTACAACTCCTTTACTTTTCTTTTATGACTTCGGTCTACTCGGGCAGCAAACAAAAGAAGCAACAACGCG